TGGTGGACTCAGTAAGTCAATCAAGGAAAGTTCCTCTCTATATAAGTCATTAGAGGGCCCTGGAGCAAAGGAAAGACTGGATCAGAGTATGATAGAGCTGCAGCTAAAAGAGAAAGATGTATCTGGTGGCAACGTCAGCAACACAGAGCATTGGGGAGGTGCATGAACATTCTCCAGCGAGGCACCCTTACCTGTTTCCAGAGGAAGAAGGATGAGAAGGTACCGGTAATAGTAAATCAATCGCATTACAGGATTAACAGTTCCATTATAACTGTAACTTGTTGAGATGTTGTAATTAAACCACTAGGTTGACAAATTACAAATCTTTTATAACAGAAACTTATTTCTTCTTAATCTCGCTATAGGGCCCAATTCAGAAAAGCCCTTAAGCATATGCTTAGTATCAAACATGTGACTAATCCTCTTCCTGTTCAGCAAAGTGCTCAAGCATGTTCTTAAATTAAGTGCATGAGAAGTCCCCATTTAAATCAATGGGATGAGACTACAGCAGCAAATATTTTTCTTTATTAACGTTCAGGAAGGTTGAAAGAATGATTCCTCTGTGTGAAGAGCCATCATGCAAGCTTTCCCATGCAGCAGCATATGTTGGGGTTGATGATGCTCTCACACTGGTTTGACGCTAGTATAACTCCATTTACATCAATGGAGTGACTCATCATTCACTCTGGTGTAAATGAGAGCAGAATCAGTCCTGTTCAGTCTTGGCTAGCACCATTCCTGAAGTTGGAACTCTGCAAAACATTTTGCAGGGAACATAAAGGTGGTCAAAATCTTTTGTCTGCCTTTGGCATAGAAAGCACACTCTTCTATAAACAGGACAGAAGGGTGTCTTTCTCTTCAGTAGCAAATTCCTACTCCATCAGTGTAAACCCACAGCTATCTGATAAGTTTCAATCTCAAGCTCTTCAGGAGTGCCTTCTCTTGTCTAAAACATTACTTTGTTTTCTGTGGGTAGAAACTCTTTCAATGTTTGTATGTATAATTAGCTAAATGTCACAGGGTGCACTTAAAACAATTCTGTTACCATGCCTGTACTCAGGATTATTTCCCAGGTTAGGTTTTATTTTCAAATGCAAAATGTATTTCTTTTTAGTGAATTGAGTTCTGTGAAAGGTACTTCCCTGACAGCGCTAAATATTGAAATCCTATATTTATCCACAAAAAGGTTATATGGGTGGAGCAGCAGTGCAGGCTTCCCATTATACAGAGAAGACCAAGGGGTGAGGTTTGAATCCAAAACTGGGTCTGTCTCAGTTTGGATCTGAACTACCTAGGGAAAGACATTTAGATCAGGTCTCATCTAAGCTCAGTTTTTATGTTCTAGATACACAGCTATAGCTATAGAAGGTTTCAAAATAGCAGATCTTAAACTTGTCACTAGTAGGGGACTGAAAGTTGCTCATCCTGACTAATTTTTGCAGGAAAGAAGAAAATATTTTGTGGCAACAGTTTTTAAAATGGCTTTTTTCCACAGAAATGGTTCTGGAGGAGATAGGCTAGAGGAGAAAGTATAGGAGAGGTTGGCAAGGTTGCAAAATTAAATGCAGTCTATCAAAAGATGGTAGAATTAAAGGGCTTTATTATTTATCGTATGGCTATTCTCACCATGAACAATTTGCATTAAGGCCTCAGTTGTCTATTGGGGGCAAGGTCATGTTCAGGATGTCAATTCCCTAAATTCATATATCTTGGGGTACCTGTGCCTCTGCAAAATCTTCCCCACCGCCCCTCGTTAGATGATGTGCCAGGGCATCCTAAAATGTCTCTGCCCTTGAAATCAGCTTGAGAGTAGATCTCACAGCATTAAGTTGAAGTTAGTTACAGACTGGATGGGCAGTAACTTGAAACACTGTGTCCAGTGGGTTTGTGAGGGGAACATGCTACGGAAAGCCTGCATTTCTTGTCTTCCATGCCGCCCATGGCCTAGACCTGCATTTCTGGCTCCACTACAGAGTTCCATATGTATGCATGAAAAATTAAGAGAAAGCTAAGGTTGGATAGAATCAAGGTACAATAACAGAAGAGGAAGAAATTATTGTTCAGATATCTAGAAATGATGCGAAGGACAGGTCTCTTCAGCAAACATTCTCCCAACAATTTAAAGTCTATTAATTCACAAAACCAATCATTAGATGCAATAAAATCTCTGGGAATAGTTTTGAAATGAATGATAAATTAAATGGTAGCTCTAAAATAAAACATAATATTTTTCAGGAATGTGTGTGTGTATCTATCTATCTATCTATCTATCTATCTATCTATCTATCTATCTATCTATCTATCTATCAAGAGAGAGAAGTTTTACCTTATATATCAAACTATAACTTGTTCCAACTACTTTCTTGGAGAGACCTGGTAAACAAAATAGTAATTAAAGGCAATTATTGTAGCGATGACAAAATCAAAGCCTCTACACTATGGATTTCTTATTTCCAAAATTCAAAGCAAGCAAGGCAAAAGCAGTGACTGAGATTTCCCCTAGATTAGTTGAAAAGGAACTGAAAATTAACAAACTCATGTACCATATCTCACATCTGAAACAAAGGAAGATTGAGATCACAGTGTCATAGTCAAGGTGAACTCCTCAACCTAAGAACTACGGCAGGCGAGCATGTAGCCCAGTACAATCTTTTGTGGTTAGAATAATAACTTCCTAACAAAAATGAAACAATTCTAATGCAAAGTACAATCTTTACTTTTTCTTTCTTTGTTTCCATGCTTATTCTCTGTCTTTTCATTTCTATATTTATGTCTATTTTTTTCTTTTATTTCTCATTCCATCTGGTACTCTCCTCTTCGTAGCATTTTCTTGTTGCTTCCTATTTATTTTTTCCCTTTCATTATTTTTCTTGTCTTCCTTTTATTTTCTTCAATGCAAAAACAACATAAATATAGCTACTGTATCTATACACATAGATTCTATGTATTCATATGAATACATAGATAAATCACAACATAGTCTTCCTACAAGAGGCAGTATTCATTGGCAATTCACCATCTCAAGGCATCCTCTCTTATATCAAACTTGCTTTCAAGCAAGCACACATGTGAATGAATGATCCTTGCACCTACAATGAAGGTCAACAAACTCAAATTCTGATTACACTATTGTTATGAGAGCTGTCTTTGTTACAGTAATGCCTAGACAGAGACCTGAAAAAAGATTATTGCCCCAGTGTGCTATCTGCTGTTTGTATAGAGACAGTCCCTACCATGAAGAGCTTATATCTATACAGAAAAGGCAGGGGGAAAGTGTTATCCCCATTATTATGGCCCTACCAAATTCATGGTCCATTTTGGTCAATTTCATAGTCATAGGATTTTTAAAATTGTGAATTTCATGATTTCAGCTATTTAAATCTGAAATTTCACAGTGTTGTAATTGTGGGGGTCCCGACCCAAAAAGGAGTTGTGTATTTGTATGTGTGTGGGTGGGGGGGGGCGGTCGCAAGGTTATTGTAGGGGAGGTTGCGGTACTGCTACACTTACTTCTGTGCTGCTGCTGGCGGTGGCACTGCCTTCAGAACTGGGCAGCTGGAGAGCAGCAGCTGCTGGCTGGGAGCCCAGCTCCGAAGGCAGAGCCACCGTCAGCAGCAGCATAGAAGTAAAGAAGGCGTGGTATGGTATTGCCACCCTTACTTCTGCGCTGCTGCCTGCAGAGCTGGGTGCCCAGCCAACAGTCGCCACTCTCTGGCAGTCGAGCTCTGAAGGCAGCGCAGAAGTAAGGGTGGCAATACTGCAACCCCCCTAAAATAACCTTATGACCCCCTGCAACTCCTTTTGAGCAGGACCCCCAATTTGAGAAACGCTGGTCTCCCCCGTGAAATCTGTATAATACAGGGTAAAAGCATACAAAAGACCAGATTTCATGGGGGGAGAGCAGATTTCATGGTGGGAGAGCAGATTTCATGGTCTGTGATGCGTTTTTCATGGCCATGAATTTGGTAGGGCCCTACTCATTATACAGCTGGGGACCAGGTTAAATCCCGAGAGCTGAGGAATGTTGGCCAGTCAGCACCTCCCCACCCCAACCTCAACTGGCTAATTGATGCCAAAGACTCTAAGGAGAGAGGGAATAACTACCTTCTATCTCTCAGCAAATGTCTTCCTCACTCCTCGGGCTTTCTCCTTTCCCTGCTGGCCTCATCACATTCCCCCACCTCTGATGATGATAAATGGCATTTAATATCCTCATTAGCCCCATTTTACAGATGGGAGAACTGAAGGATACTTGCCCAAGTTAACATGGCAAATTTGAGGTAGAGCTGGGAATTGAACCCATTTTTCTATGTTCAAACCTGTGCCTTAACTACAAGACTATCCTTGCTGTCTAGGTAGGAAAAGTCTCTAGGTGATTACATTTCAGATAGAGCTGTGTGAATATTAGATTTTTTGGTTTGCAGGCAATTCCAAAAAAAAATTAAAACATTTTTTGGGTCAAACTGCAAACATATATTATATTTTTGGTGAAATGCAAAGTTGGAAAAAATTGTTTGACCTGAAACTAAACATTTCATTTTGATTTCAAGCATTTTTTTAATTTTAAATTATTTTTAATAAAATTGAGGGAAATTTCTAAATGAAAAATTATTTCAAACTGAAAAATCAAAGTGTTTCATTTTGACATTTTTGGATTTTTTTCCCCCAACATGAACAATTTGGCAAAATGTTTTGGTTTTGCTGAATCTGCATTTTTAATCAAAAATGGTTTTGGCTGAATTTTTTCCCCCCAGCAGTAGTTTCAGAATCAAAGCCCCTTTCTCAGCAATACATGCCTATAGTTCCCCCCAATTCAATACTAGGGACTGTAAATATAAATGTCTCAAGTGATTTTACACTGATGGGATGAAGTTAGGGAGACAGGCAGCTACTTTCTTAAGTAGCCAGGAACCAGGACCATTATGGCTAATAAACAGAGCAAAGACTTAAACATAGAGCTGTAGTGATTTTTATTTTATATATTTTTTTCTTTTCAACAGAAATCAAAATGTTTTGAGCATCATGAATTCACACTACCTCCTAGAGCTTATGTGACTTGAGAGCTAAAGAACACAGCCCTGCAAGCTATAGTACATATAACTGTGGTAAGTTCAACATCAGCCTTTTTTTTTTTAAAGAAAAAAATATTAAATGAAATGAAGTCATATTTATGCCAATTACTCCTAACGTTTTACCATTTGAAAAAGTCCAGTCCTAAACAAGAAGTGAAATGGCTACTTTGGGGTGTTTTACGCAGGGAGAATAAGGTTATTTATCTGAGTGAAAAATAGTCTGATCTTTCAAAGCCAGATTCAGTGTTAAAAGTTGCTACATTTAAGATTGTACAATCCCTGAAAGATTTTTCTGGGCTGAGTCAGCTTTCTTTGGGGATATTTGACTCAGGGCTTGTCGACACATAGAGTGCTGCAGCAGTGCAGTTGCAGCACTTAGGGCTTGACCTCACTACGGAGCTAAATCGGCGCTGTTCCAATCAATGTAGCGGCTTCGATTTAGTGGGTTTAGTGAAGACATGCTCAATCATGGGGGGAGTGCTCGCCCATCAATTTCTGTACTTCACCTCAATGAGAGGCGGAAGCAATGTCGGCAGGAAAGCGTCTCCCACCGACATAGTGTAGTGTGGACCCCGCTGTAAGTAGATCTATGCTATGTCGACTTGAGTTACACTACTAATGTAACTCAAATTGTGTAGCTTAGATCGAACAGCAGCGGTAGTGTAGACCTGGCCTTATGTCGGTAGAACTGTGTCGCTCAGGGGTATGGAAAATCCCGGGTGCAGACAGAGCTATGTTGATAGGAGGACTTCTCCTGTCAACGGAGCTACTGCTGCTTCTTGGCGAGGTGGTCTTCCCCAAGAGTTGGTAGCTATGTTGACCGGATAAGCCCTCCAATCAGCATGGCACTGTCTACATGGGGGTTTAGGTCAGTATAACTACGTCACTCAGTGGTGTAGATTTTCCACACCCCTGGGCAACATAGTTATACTGACATAAGTTGGTAGTGTAGACCAAGCCACAGTCTAGTGTAAACTTCAGCCTTGAGGAAACTGCTGGGTTTTATTCTTGTTGATTCTGATTACTCTTATTGATTTAGTTGTCCTCCAGAAATTGCTTCAGATGCAAACACTCACCTTATGGAGGTAGATTAACTGTCTGACCTTTAAACACTGCATGAAAATCAACTCACCTCTCTTAAATACAGAAATGTCACCCTGGCAGTAAAAGGACTGGTTAATGTGTTTGGAAGAAAACTGAAGTTTTTCATGGGATATTGTTGCTACAGCCCCACTCTATATTCTGCAGCTTGCCTTGTGGCAGATTGTTTCATTATCTAGCAGTATCATTAATCTTTTTTATTAGCACCTTAAAAATAAACAAACAATGATCTTGTTGCATTTGACACAAGTAGTGCATTTTAATTTTGTAGGCTTGTATTATTGACTTAAAAAAAATAACCCAACAACAATTCAGATTGAAATACTGCCCTCAGTTTCTTACAAATACGAAAACACTATTCAGATATGTAGAACTATAACAGCATCTGTTATGCATATTAAATGATGTGTGCTATTTTTGTATCTTCCACATGGAGCTTAGCATTAACTAGGAAAGTTAGTACTAATTAATTTTGAGAAATAATATTGTATCAGTCATTTTGCGCTCATACATACCATGAGTCAGTTCTACATGCATTACCCAAAGCATCTCTGTTTAGAAATTGTCTTAATATTGTTCTAAGTTATATGGTCACCTTAATTTCAAGAATATTATATTGAAAAGTGAAGGTCTATCTTCATGAATTATTCGTTGTTTATAATGAATCAAAAGCAACTTTTGCCCTTTCTTTATCGGTATGCAGTTGTCAAAAGTAATAATAATGGTGATGATAAACAATGCAAATATCCAAGAGTACTACTATTTTGTCTTAGATATAAATCACCTCCTTAAGAGTAAACCCACACTCCCATGCATTATGAAAATATCAAAATCATTACCAAGTTTCCCCAACTGTGTGAGAGTCTAGAACATGGGAACAGGGAGAAATGGCAAAATTGCCATGATTTTCTGTTTGTGTAACAAATATTCCAAATATATAGCTTGTGATCCAGTTATGTAGGCATGGGGAGAAGCAATTTAGCCCTTTTATAAGCATTCACCTGCAAAATAATTTACCGTGTCCTGGATATATGACACAGAGACCCAGATAGATACTGTTTTATTGAAAAAAAATATCTGCATATGGAAGAGGCTGATAAAGCTGGATAGTCTTCAGAAAAGTTAGGAATTGGAAAGTATGAATACATTCTTCTTCTGAAGAAAAGCTCTGTGTAAGCTCGAAAGCTTGTCGTGTGAGTGTGTTTGTTACCAGACTTATTCAGGAAAAAATATAGACATAGATCTAATTATAATCATTCTGCATTTTATTTTAAGATGTCTTAATATGGATCAGTCCTTCCAGAAACCTTCCACATCCATTCTGTCACCCAGTTGTAACATATCTATAAATCAAATAATACCACCATAAATGAACATCGTTTGAATGTTTTCTATGCATTTAGCACTGGTTTGTGTTAAATTCCTCCAAACAGCTAGATTTCTTAAAATAAATATTTACAATTAGCACATGGTACATCTGAATGTATTACAGTGAAGTTATTTTAAACTGGCTTTCTCCCACCACTGAATTATGATTACTATGGAAAAGCGATTCTGGACACTAGATTTGTATGGGAGCTCAGGGCAACAGCTTCATATTTTCTTCATCTTCCTTGGATTTCATCCAAAGCCAATTCTGTTTAATCTGCCTGCTGCTGCTCTGGAAGTGACATCTGTTCAAATTTACACTCTTTATCATGGCTGACATGTTGTTTGTGTGTATGTTTACCCCAAGCTCTAGTTCCAACTGCCTCTTGCAGATAATTTGTGATTGCTTCCTTCAGTCCATCATAGGTTGCTAGGCATTGCATCTCTGCGTATGGAGTTTTGCTATTATTTCTTTCCTAACTCTACCTGGAATTACATTTAGAGAAAAAGAGTGAAGTCTAAATGCAACATGTGCAACATCAAGTATGCTCACTGGAGGTGGGAGGGAGCTGAGAGAGAGAATGTGTGTAATATTCTTATTTAATATCCATAAGTACTACCAAAATACCCAGAGGTAACCAGGTAACTTGTCTCCTTGGTACTTCTTGATACCTAATACAGTGTGGGATCCATTATTTGTGAAACATTTAGGTTGTCCTTTGTAAAAACAGACAAACACACAAAACCAAAAAAACCCTAGTACACCTCTACCTCGATATAACGCTGTCCTCGGGAGCCAAAAAATCTTACCGCGTTATGGGTGAAACTGCCTTATATTGAACTTGCTTTGATCCACCGGAGTGCGCAGTCTTGCCCCCCCCCCCCCCAGAGCACTGCTTTACCTAGTTATATCCGAATTCATGTTATATCGGGTTGCGTTATATTGGGGTAGAGGCGTACTGTAATTTTTGATGTAGAGATAGGCTTAAGACAAAAATCTTAATTTAAATTTTGAGTTACTCAAGATCTGAATCCACATGAGATTTTTGTGGCTTGTGGTTCATATTTGTTTATATATGTAGATGTGAACACACACGCGCGCGCGCACACACACACACACTTACCAACCATCACACACATTCAAAAGTCATGAATCGAATCTCAAAAAATCAAGAGATTGGCTCGACAAGCATAAGATTTATTTAAAAATAATGAATGTGGGTTTCCTTTTTGTTTACCTTCTGGTTTCTAAGCCTTTGGTGGTATATTCTAGTTGCATTTTCCATCTTTTCTCTGCTACCGTGGGGGCTAGAAACTCTATTTTTGAGATTCTTACATAATCATTTGACTCCAGGGGAGGGGACTTTAAAAAGAACACTAAATATCTTGGGACTCATAGAATCATAAGTACTGCAACACTCTATATATTAAGATGGGCATCTCTGTAGTACATACAACTTGTGGGGGAGGGATTACTAAGTAAAATATATGCCTAAACAGTGATACTAAAAACAGTGTCTGAAATCATAGAATTCCACACCATTGCTAGATTTAGATGCAACACTCAGAATAATTGCGATGTTTGTTCCCAAAAATGAATATGCAAGTAAGGCAGAGAGAGAGAATATGCACTGACATTCACTATGAAATGCCATAAGGAAGATAAATTATTGAAGCAAGTAAAATGAGTACTCAAATCTACTAGTTAACACTCTTTTGGATTATCAGAGAATACAAAATAAAGTTAGGCAGTAACATGAGAACCAGCTTCAGATTTTATTTGGAACTCAGTTACTACTGTGACATGCCTGGTATAAAAGTGTAGATTAAAAGGAATCAAACTATAGTACTTAAATGGTCCCTATTGACACAGTATCTGAGCATTCACAATCTTTAACTCCCAAGTCCCAGGCCAGCACCCTAACCCAGTGGTTCTCAAACCTTTGTGCTGGTGACCCCTTTCACATAGCAAGCCTCTGAGTGTGACCCCCGCCCTTCCCCCATACATTTAAAACACTTTTAAATATATTTAACACCATTATAAATGCTGGAGACAAAGCGGGGTTTGGGGTGGAGGCTGACAGCTTGCGACTCCCCATGTAGTAACCTCGTGACCCCCTGAGGGGTCCCAACCCCCAGTTTGAGAACCCCTGACCTAACCACTGGACAATCTTTCATCTCAAATTCATTTGTGTGTGGCCGACCTGAGCTACGAGGAATTGAAACACGATGAAGGATCTACTTTGGTGTAGGGGTAAAATATTTAATTGGTAGAGAAAAGATGGGCAGATCTATCTGTACCAGCTGTAATATCCTGGACAATCCTTATGGAATTAAGATAAACTTTCTTGATTTAAATTTAAACTTACTGAATTAGGTTTAACACCTTTGGGATCCATTGTACTGAAAATGCAATTCTGTATGTGTTATTGCAGAATTGTATGTAATTCCTGTAGGAGGAGGGGAATGCTAATGTTGTTTCTTTGGTTATCAGCCCTTTTAAGCCAACCTCTGGAGAGGGTTACATATATTAATTTACACTGGATTCTCAGGGACCAACAGAC